ATCTTCCAACAGTAGCTGCTAGTTCTCGACTCCGCTATGACTCTTATTGAATCAACTCCTGATGCCGGAACCGGTGCTCTGATCAGACAGGATCCGCTGTTGATGCCAGATCCAGAGCCGCTTTTTTCCAAGTGCTATAAGGTTCCTTGTGCTGGAAAGGACAGATCTTATGGACAAGTCTAATCCTATTCCAAAACCAACAGCCTTGGGCCTTCAGCCCCAGCTCGCACTCGACATGACATGATCTTTGACAATCATGAGTCAGGAGGGTCAGCCCAGAAAGAGACTAGCCGGCCTTGGGTCTCCGGCTCTTAGAAAGAAGCTAAATCCATCTGCCTTCTACCACGAGTGCGCCCTCACTACACTACACTAATAAGAAAGGAAAGACATATCAACACAGATAGAACGGGCGCGGAGAATGGAAGATTCACCCATAAACAAAAGAGGAACCCGTAGCTGCCAGACCCGTTTTCGACCTCTTTGCCTACCGCTTGCCTTACTCATAATCGGGAATCTGAACAGGCAACTATGAGACTAATTTCCCATTGTCCCGAGCAAGTTACAGCGTACCCGAAGTGTGTTGGTCTTTCGTGAACACTCCTGGGTGAAACCCTAGCTCTGGTTCAGACATGTGATTGATATTATATATAATCGTTTTTTTTTAGCGGTCATTCTGAGAAGTTAGTTTGAGAACGGTCGAGACCCTCGCGGGCATCCTTCACCACTGGACTTGTTCAAACCTTGGTCTATGGCAGCGGCGGTAGGAGTCGCAGAACTTGCAAAACCCGATACTCCTCGTCGAATAGAGGTCTCGTATGTTGGTACATAAGGGTTAGGCGAAGCAGTCGGTACACGGTACATTCAATCAAGTCCGTTGCTGTTGCCAACTCCTTCTGCTTTCCCCCCTTAAAAGGCTCAAATACCAGATATCAAGATCCAAGGCATACCAGACTCCCGAAGGGAAGGAAAAAGAATGCCCTCTTTGATAGAAGGAGCTATTAGGGGAATATCAGATCTTTTAGTCCACTCTTTGAGACATCTATTAGACCGTGGGGCATGAACACGAAGAGGAGACTTTTCTTTCCTATCATTAGCGCTGTGAAAGGAAAATATGGTACTTCTATAGCTTTCACGTGGCGAGAGGGAGAAAGAAATAGCAAGAACCACTCTTTATCTTTGAACGAATCCGAAGTCCGGGAAGGCAACTGGTAATACGCAAATAGAGTACATCAAGCCTGAAAGACCCTATACTTGTACAGGGCTAGAGACTAGAGGTTCCCCAGGTAATCAATCTATGTTAAACCTCCGGAGAAGAACTAAGACTGGCATTGGCTGAAATGGAGCTTGCCCCAGGTACGAAATGCCAGCAAGGTAAGGACATAGGTCTGTACCCGACTCCTCTGAGACTTAGACGGATAGACTCGTTAGATACGCTATTTTATTAATGGTATAAAAGGTGGGCCCGAACGGTATAGCCCCGCAGGGAAGACCCTGAGGAGATGATTGAAGAAAGATCAGAAGAGGACCCAGAGGGATGAAGAGATGAAAGTCACAGTAAACCCGGAAGGCTTTATCTCGAATAGATTAAAGGCTCTTCTTGCTCAACGAGCCCAGAAGGTACCGATTCCGGAAGTTGCTGGAGAGCCAGAGGTTACCTGCCAGGTGACCATACAGTAAAAGCCCGGGGAGCCAAAAAAGGTCGTGTTAGACAAAGCCTCTCCCCAGATGACCCAAGACATCAAGCCTCTGTACGTCAAAGCTCACTTGAACGGGAAGCCCGTATCACGGATATTGGTAGATAACGGATCCGCAGTCAATGTGTTGCCGCTTAAAATGATATGGAGTTTTTGAAAATCTTTAGGAGGACCTGATGTCAACGGAGGTTTCAGTTGTGGCCTTTACTGTGGGAACCCTTCCTTGCTTTCTTATATTGTATTCGCTTCAATCGCTCCTGAATCGGCGGATCAAAGATCGGAATACCTGACTTTCACTGCTAGAGGTGGATTGGATGAGAGGCCGCTATTTGCTTGCTTCTCCTGTTCGCTCTAGTTCACCTGGTTTACAACGGTCTGTTTGCTAGGTTTTAGACAAGGGCTAAGGGCGAGTCATCCCTCTTAGCAGCTCTTTCCTAATCAATCAGCTTTTGTGCTCTCCCAAAACAGCGGAAAGACTTTGAATAATTCCACCAACAACTTTTCTCATGAAAGGGAAGACTTTTTAATAAGACTTTCTTTCTCTTGCACCACGCCGGAACGTATGGACACTGCCTAAAGTGAAGTAAGAAGGAATCGGGGTGGCTAGCTTTCCTGCTTCTGTGCTTGTTATTAAGAAGATAGAAAAGATATAGCTATCTCCCGTAGGCTACTCTTTAGAGCATTTCACTCGTTTAAGGAAGACTCATACAGCCTAAGACAACTGGGTTTACGAACAGGGGTTATTCCCATATATATGGATGGATGTTACTTTTGTGCTTAATTTAGTTTTGCGTATCAGTTAAGTTTTAGGTCTGTGCCTGAGGCCTGGACCAGAAAGCTTTAATGGCGGGGGCAGAAACGGAAGCAGGTACGAATAGAAGAAGGCCCAGAATAGCCAAGCCAAAAGGGTCCTATTAAGTGGTCCAATCATTGTGGGTATAATGGTAGATGCTCGGGACCAAGCCCTCAATTTTATACTTTGGAAAACTTCTAATAGTAAACTTAAACTATCAATTATATTAGGTAGAGGAGCAATTTCATCGAAATCACAGGCATAACTCATTCCTTCATGGAAAACAAGTTTATTTCATATACCTCTGCTTGAAGAGAAGTAGAGCGGCTCAGGAACATCTTGGTAGAAGTACCGATATGGAGCAATTGTTGCCGGTCTAGACAATTTTTACGGCTGCCATGCTGAGATAGTACAGCTAGGCAACTAATAGGTAATCCATACCAGTGTGTCTGATGTATGTGAGAAGGATCTTGACAAAATTTCCAGTAAGTATGTGGAGTCCAGATGAGATCTGGCTGATCCCGTGTCAAAAGGCCTTGGCAAGGAAAAAACCAGAGCATAGTTAGTTGTCTTGTACTTTACGGTAACCCAACCTGTTCTCCTAGGAAAAATGAGAAATATAAGCACATGAATGAATTTTAATTCTTCCATACCTATGGTCTATGTGCTTATTCCTGCATTTAAGTTCTATTAATGAATCCCGGAGGAGGAGAAAGAAACCTGATAGATTCACCGATCTGAGTGTGGTATTTCAATTCCTATAGGATTTGGACTTTAATCCTTAGAGCACTCAGGGGATCCTAGGCACATGGCCGTAAGGTGCCGAGCTTATCTGTAAATACTTTAGTGGGTGTGTGTGTCATTTCTGCTTTGTCAACATGCTTCTTAGAAAAAGACCTTGTTCACCTAGTCTTAGGAAGCTCCATTCTTTAGAGGTAAATATGATGATGTTGAAATAGCAGATTATATAAGCATTACTTCAGCCTGGCAAAACTGGCTTGTTTGTGTAATAGCTTTTCCTGCCCTACGACTAGTAGGTAACTCACTACCTTTATGGAGTAAGAATCATTCCTGCTTCCAGACTTAACCTTCGCCTGCACAGAAATTATAGGAACTTAACTGAGACCTGGTTAAGGGAAGAAGGTTTATCATCCTGTTGTTGCCATATCTGTTGCCGCTGTTCTCTTTGCAATTTAATTTTATGTGGGAATAACTGAAATAACCGTTGTTCAAATAGCCGTAAGCGGTGGTGGTGAAGTCAGTTAATCAGACTCGGTTGTGCTAGAATCTGCTGTGGGACTTGAGCTTGTGGCATATCGATAATATGAGTATGCATCGAGAAATATAACTTTCGATTTCATGTCCAGATGAAATGCAATTTCCAACTAATGGCACTACTTCCTCAATAGGAAATTAACTTCTAAGCTGGCTAAGGTAAGATAATCCTGTTCTTGCAATAACAGGTCTTTCTGGTGAGTGAATAAGAGCTCTTCGTAACCGCAGCTAAAGGCTTAGCCTAGCCCTAAAGCAAGCAAATGACATATAGAAATAGTAGGCATCGCATGCCCTTGCCTTTTTGCTTTTCTTACCTCCTTTTCTTCCTTTAAAGCAACTGACATCCATGTAGAAGAAGGTTCACAGGTGGACAAAGAGGGCTGTCCCTTGGTTTGCGGCGAATATATTGTCGATCTTTAGCCAATAGCAGTAGGAGTAGCTGGCACTGGCTTTCGGGATATCAATAATACATATGCAATGTGCCGCATCTACTTGACCCGCCGGCGCGAAGGCCTTCCCCCTCTCCTCAGATGTCCACAAAAGGAATTGACAGTGAATCCTATGACTTTCCTTCTAAGACATGGTAATTGCTTTCAAGGGCTAGATGCTGCAAGTGAATCAAAAGTAGAGAAAGGGTCAGCTCCTTCACTTCATTCTCTCGCTCTCTCTATCTCTTTCTATTTTTCGTATAGAAAGATGACACACTTGAACTTGACTGATTTTCTTAGTAAGAAATAATAATCAGAAATCATCCATCTCATAAGCTTTTCAAAGCACATTCTAAACAAACGAATGCTATATGCTTAACACAAAGAAATCGATTTTAGATTCCATAAGTAAGTCGGTGAATGCTTTCTTTTTGCTTGCGCATTCACGGATCTCTGCCTACCTATTCTTCCCCCACAAAATCCGTACTTGGCTATGTATGGGAAGATGCCTAACTTACCAGAGAAGTCAAGGATGGTCAAGGTGCCTATTCCACCCAAGGATCCGTGGTGTGGTCCGCAAGCAAAAATAAGATAAAAAAGAAGCATCAGCAGGGTCACAGTCTCCAAAAGTAGAGTGACAAGGGCTCAGCCTTTGATTACACGTATAGTTTAGTTCATAGTCCCCTTACCAATGAGACTTCTTCCTCTTTTATGGAGAAAAAGCGAAAGCGAAGGCAGCTATCATAACAACCGGTCCGAAGGAGAAAGACTGTCTTTTCCCGATCGTCGAATGCGAAGAGAGGTAGTACAAGTAAGCGAGAGGTTTAGAGAAATACTCGACCATAAGGAGAGGGAGAGAAGCTAACCCCCGTTCCCAAGTCTTCTTCCACCTCACTCCTGGCTTTGGAAGGTCGTTTCTATATTCGTATATAGAGATAGACGTAAGGTTGGGGCTGGACCGGGCGGACCCCGGCTTCCGACGTACAACAAGATCAAGCCCAAACGTCGTTCAGTTTTTTCCTCCTCTTCCTGTTCTATTGATCAGAAGCACCCAGCAGCGCCACGCCGCTACTCCTCAAATAGGTGGCGGTTGCTTTGAATGAACTCTACAGTTGACTGTAAGAGTTCTTCTTTTTGGACGCGCGCTGCTTCATCTCTATGGGCGTCGCGTGCTTTTATGATATTAAACCTCTTGCCGTCGAAGCCCGGCCTCCGCTTGTTTAAGGAGGTTGGCGTTCTCTTGCAGACGGCGTCGGTTATCCTGTCGCAATCGGTCTAAGTGTTCCTCCGAAAACAAATTAGAGTTAGGATCATCCCGCGTGTGACTTTCTACCTCCGCAGCGGTGACGCTCCCAGGGGACGAGACGGATTGTGGTGGAGATCCGTACGAATCCGTTTCCGAGGAGGCATGGGGAGTCCGACTGAGATGCCGGAGACTCAGAGCCTGATGTCCCCTCGCCGAGAGGCATCATATGGTTTTGGTATGTGAGCAGCGCTCGTAAAGTAAAGTCTACAGTCAAGGCAAGCCCTGCTGAGCAGCCCAACCCTCTTAGAGCAAAGGATAGGGCTCGACCGCCCAGAGAGAACCCAACCTTTGAAAGTAAGGCATGAAAGAAATCCAATTCCTTGAATTGCTGACAAATAAGATAGAAAATACCTAAAAAGGTAGAAATAAAGAGAAACTAAGATTGAAGAAAAGGAGTCAAACTCAAGCTCGAACTTATAAAGATAGGCGGATTAAAAGTAGTTAAAGCCCCGCCTTGCTTTCGCGTATTTAGGGCCTAACTTTGTAAAGCGTTTTAATGTTGGAATTTGTGTTTCATATGAGGCAAAATAAACATGGGGGGCCGTTTTCTTAGGCAGTTGCTGATTGAGGAAAAACCGTCAGCTCTGTCTTTGCTATTTCGACGGTTTCCTACAACGAAAAGAGACTGGATCTTCAATATAAGTCTTTCTTGTGAAAGAATAGGGCAGCATTTGTTTGTGGCTCCCTCACACCACTGCTGGTGACCTTGCAAACTCTAAGGTCCTTTAGGCTGCTGGGTTAGTAAGAACAAGATAGTGGGCTTTCCCGTGTAATTTCGACACCTTGGACTTCGGCATCTTTACTTAGGGATACCCTTGGTAAATCATCTTTCTTTTCCCTGCGAGAACAGCTCTTCTTCAGCTACCGAAGCTTGCAGGTGTGTAGCTGCACCGAGCTTTCTATTTTGAATTCGGGTTCCCACGGTATTGATGAGAGCCTTTTTTCCTCGGATCATGTTGTCTTACGTCCTTCCTGATGAGACCTTTTTCAAAGTCCCTTGTTTTAATTCGACGAAGAGCTTCTTTATCTTACGCAATTTCGAGATCAGGATATTGAAGAATACCTTCGACGTGTAGCTAAGTAGCTTCAGATTCCTTTTCCTTGGTTGCCGATCAAGGTAGAGTCTTCACAGGTGATCAAGTAAAAGAGTTTGCTAATATATCTAGTTTTTGTTGAAATGATTCACTCAACACCTTTGCTCAGGCTAATGGACAAGCCGAGTCTTCCAAAAAAATAAGGTGAACTAGCTTATAAAAAATGATAAAGGATAACCCAAGCAAGGATCTGGCATGAAGTGTAGTCAGAGGCTCTCTAGGCATGTCGGACAAAAAGACCGAGTTTCCATTAGGAGGTGGGACAAGAAGCTTAACCATACTTGGCTTTGGAAAGACTTCTGCTCGACACGTTCAAGCTTTTCCGGGAGGATCTTTTTTAAATATTTTATTCCCAGGTTAAAGACTGGGGCGGGTTTAACTAAATATCCTGACCCCTGACCCATAGTCTTCATGGATCTGATCTTTCCTGCTATTCCTAAGGAAAGGATAGTATTCAAGGCGATCAGAGTCAGCATCGGCATAAGGGAATAAAAAGTGGCAAGAATCATTCCATTCTTCCTCGGCAAGAGCACCCGAATCCTAATTTTGTTTTTGGCCTTGTCAGTATCCCTTTGTGAGTCTTCTGCTGAAGACTTTCTCCTTAGTAGTCTCCCAATGGCCCTTGACCGGTGTGGCTAAGCCAATACATAATCACCATAAATTAGTGACGAGGGCTCTCTGCGGCTAAGAATAGAAGGTGGTGTACTAGTTCTCAGTAAGTCTTGGAAGAATCCCATGAAATGTTCATCCAAAGAGGGATTTTAGTTAGTGAAAAAAGACCTTCTTTTTCTTGTTACCTCCTGCCCGCAGCCATGCACTTAATAAATAAATATCATAGGAGTAGTAGCGCTAAGCGAAGCATCAAAGCAGAAGGAGCTTGACACCATTGAATCAAGTGTTGAAAGACTACGTATGAAAATAGAATCCCCAGATGATAGGGGCCCGGGAACTGAACGATGTTAGCGCAAGGGGCTTAAATTAAAAGGCAGGTAGCATTCGATAAGCAGGCAGGTTTGGGAAACTAGCACCAGGTACTAGGTCGATGGCATGCAGAATACTCCTCATCGGTGGTAAACCATGGGAAGAGCATCACCAACCAGCTCCTTCAAAGATTTTAATAGTATCTGAATGAAGAAGAATGTCGAGAGAATAGTTAAATGCCGGCGAATAGCGTAGGAAGTAACCAAGTTTGAATGGTGGAAAGCCAGCAAGGGAAAAAGCATTAGTTTCAGCGAAGCTATTCTTTACCCCTTAAGCGTCAGAGAAAAGTACTTTCAGGCAAGGTCGGCTAGCGAACCCCGCTACTCCTTTGTCTTTTAGGAAGGGAAGTCTGAGTCAAAGTCATTGTGAATCCTCAGTTTGAAGGCGATTCACCTTCACCCAGCATCTTTTAAAGTTTTAGTCTGATTATTTCTCATCTGCCTGCGGCTCTGGCCGGCCCATCTTCCTCCATGTCCTCATCCGAGGTTCAAGCAATTGGTCATCATTCCTGGCCTGGCCGGCTGGCCGAGGTCGAGTTCCTCCCTTATTTATAATCTATACGGCTTTCTTCGTCTCTATTATTTGATTTATCAATAGCCAAAAACTTGACTTTCAGGTCTGCGAGAGGTCAATGTACTAGAGCTCATGCCCAAATAGGGGCTTTCTTTTCTCTTGCATGCGACTTCCCTTCCTCCCTCATTCATGAAAATCAAAGGAAGCTTCATCGGGAAGGGATAGGGATGGCGCATTGGCTTGGTTGGCGGCTTGGCTTCTCTATCGCTCATGACTTGGTATAGAGTCCGTGTAGTCGGTGAGTACGAGTACAGCCTATGAAACAGGCTTTGAGTTCCATTACATTGCCAAAATGAATTCCCGCCACTCTCCCTTCCAGTGAACCCCACGTGTCTGCCTCCGGCTTCGAAGCAGTGGGGAAGAAAAGGACTCGGCTTAACTTCACTTGGGTTCGGTTTACCTTGTTACTATTGGAATGATGGAAGTAGCTCTTCTTCCTCTTTGCGTTAGCGACTCTGAGCTCATAGGGAGCTGGGAATTAGCTTGGTTAGCTGGAGAAGGGATAGAGTTGAAAGATCGGATTTTTTTAGCGCGCCTTATGCCTGTCCTTTCCTGACTCTGTCGATGGTATGCCTGAGATGGCAGTCTTTCTCCTTGGCTTGTACTCGAGATTCCCTTTTTGTTCGAAATCGATATCTTCGCCTTTGAGAAAGGGAACGAAGGAATTCCGTCTGTTGTCACAAGAATTGTTCAAGTTGAATGCGAATAATCGATTGAATCCGATCTTTGAAGACTTGAAGGACTAGTGTCCAATCCCGGCCGATGTAGAGTAGTCCCTTTTGGGCAGCACTTCCTCGTAGGGAACTACCTATTGTCCTTCTTTCTTGTGGTGGAACCTGGGATTAACCCTCCCAGAAGTTATTATCGCCAAAACAAAAAAAGACATCTTGAATTTCCCACAAGAGTAAAACTATAATAGTATCCGACTCATATGGCGGCGGGGGCTGCGTTCCCCTCTCTTTCTGCTGGATGGGGAGTGCATCGGTCGGCTATGTCCCTGGACCTCCTGGCTTCCCTGTCACGTCCGAACGTAATCAGAGAAGACCTGCCCAAGCACCGCACCACCTTGTGATCATAAAGAAGAATATCCAATACAATCACAGGAAAGAGTACCCGAAAAAAACCGTAACGTATCAGGGTCGTACGCCTGGAACAGTCGTACAATTTCGGCGATTCAAAAAGGAGTATATCCCTCTCCCTTAGTGTCTTTCCACTTCCCTCGTTCAGGAACAAACCCTTCGCCTAATTCTTTTGAGTCCCGGCCTGGTTTTTCCCCACTAACCAATTACGTTACGACCACTGAAGAAACTTGGTTGACGAACATGGTTTATGCGCCGCTAATGTAGCGGCTTGTCGAGCATTTGACAAACTCACACCATCCATCTCAAATAGGACTTGTCCCGCGGACACACGAGCAATCCAACCCGTAGGATTTCCTTTTCCTCTTCCCATTCTTACTTCTGTAGGTTTCCCGGTAATAGGGATATCTGCGAAAACTCTTACCCATATCTTACCATTTTTTCGGAATTGTCCGCTCATAGCACGATGGAAGTGCCCGATTATAGCCCGACGCGCTGCTTCAATGGCTCGATATGAAAGACGACCAGCTCTACAACTTTGAGTGCCATATCTTCCAAAACCTAGTTTTGTTCCGTCTGGTTTGCAACCCCTACTACATCTGCCTTTACGATATTTACTAAATTTCGTACGTTTCGGATATAGCACGTCCCTTTTTTTTTTTACTATATGAAATCCACACTTTGACACCTGAGATTCCGTAACGAGTAGATACTTCCGCAGAAGCATAATCTATTTTCTGGTTAAATACATTACGAGATGTTTTTCCATACTTTCCGCATTCAGTTCTAGCTATTTCTGCGCCTTCTGATCGACCTGAACAACATATACGGATCCCCTCAACCCCTTTTTTCATTACTAATGGAATATCCTTAACTATTCTACTAAAAATGGAACGAAATGATCTTGTTTTCTTTCTCAGTTGAAAAGAGATGTCTTGAGCAATCGGAGAAGCACTTTGATAAACAGATTTGATCTTGACCGACTCAATTAAGGTATTAGTGTTTGTTCTATTAGACAACAAAGATCGCATTTTTTTCACTTCGTTCAAATAAGAGTTGTACCCGTACGGAATTTTTCTGTTTCTCAGTATGATCTCTATCATCATCTCTATTCCCTTTATCCACTCTCCTATCCTACCTAGGTCTATGAATTTATCTATCAATTCCATTACCTTATCCTTACCCATGAGGTTCCAACATTTGATCCTTAATTGACCTAGGAGTGGTTCCCGGGCATCCTCAAAAAAAAGGTTATTATAAATCCCAACTCTATCCCTTGGAAAGAAAAAGGTAGCACCGAAGAAAGGAAAGAGCGAGATGGTGGTTTTTGTTGTTCCCGCGAAGCGAAGATCATTCGCCAAGCGAATTAAGTGGGTCAACCTCTTTTTGGCTTCGGCCAAACACTTTTTCTCGCTGGTCGAGCTTTCTACAAAAAAAGCGATGCGAGAACGTATTCTCTTATCTAAGCTTCTTCCCTGCGCATTCGCTCCCCTCATCGTAGATGGTTCAGCCACGCCCGGTGCCACGAAATGATTGAGAACTACGACGGGGTCGAAATGCATTTGGTTCTTTCTACAAAAAAAGTATTGCATGACCGAATAATTCAAGGAGGGGCGCACTGCAGGGAGGGTCCTTTGAAATAGATGACTCGTCGGGCCGTCGGAGCGGGACTTCTTGGGGAAAAAGAACTTAAAAAACTTCGTTTTTCTGAAGGAGTCGTAATTTTCTATCAGGAACGCTATGTCATTTACAGCCCCGGCGTATTTCGGATGCTTGAAGGCCCCGCTGACCCGAAGTGATTTAGAAAGATTCTTCTTTATCGATGGTGATCGGTCATGGTATCCATAGCGTTGCTTCTTTTTCGGCCAAATCCTAATTTCGTTTTGCTTCTCCCGGTCGTCGAGCCTGATCGACTCGACTCTTTTCCCTGCCCTCCGGCCTCTCACTTCGTTTCGTTCTTCTTCTTTCTTGTTGCTGGAATGAAGACACCCGATCGGCCCGACTTTCCCAAATGCCCACCACCGGCCCTTCTCCTTTCCGGGTCTGGATTTATCGCGTCGTTTCAGTCGTCGTGGTCGACGGGGAAGAAAGAAATGAATGAATGTTCTTTTGGGAAAATGTATAAGAATACACCTACCGAGACGAAAGCCAAAGGTTAGTCTCGCAGGTGGACGTATCGAACCGAAATAAGATTTTGATGTGGATGAGAAGGTTGCGTTCTCTACATTAAGAATTGCTTGCTCAATTTGAAAAAGCGTTAAAGTGGTAACTGGTGGATCCATATCTATCTCCCCTTGCTTTGCCAAATAGAGAAAGCAGCTTCTATTTATAGACGTGGGAAGCTCTAAGCGAAAAAAAAAGAGTCTTTCGTTTTTCGCGGGTATCGCCACGTGGCTTAATCCCGAAAACTCTTTCAGGAATATAACTTAATAATATAGCGCACATCAGAGAAGAGAGTAACCCCCTTTATAATATAATAAGAGAGGCCCCCTGCGTCCTTTCTTCATAGATGGAGCAATCCTCACTCGACAGCTCGAAAGCGGATCAGTACAAACCCACGTGATCCGTATTCGCTTACGTACCAGGCGTGCTTCGTCGTACCCTGACTACTCCTCTTTCACTGGCTTCTACTTGTCTTTTACTGGCTTATTTGTACCCAGCTTCATGATTTAACTCCCCTCGGCCAATCGTCACTCGACAGCAGCTCCGTCCTAGCGTAGGCTGAAGAAGTAAAGCCTCTGCCTCTATCGCTTGATTGAAAGGATCAGACACTTTCCCCTACTTTTGACAGCAGAACGAATTATATTATTAATATAAGTAAGGTAAACTTGCTTTTGCCGATTGCACTCGGATAGCGGCCTGGGCCGTCCTGGAATGGTAAAAAATAAATTAGATGGACTGGACTTCGATGGGCTTTGTTTGGAAAGCCAGGAAAAGGTGGCATTTCCGGGCCAGGGCTGAAAATGGATCTGAATGCTAACATTGGGCTAACCTTCACTCCAATAGAATGGGGAAACGAGCAGAAGCATATTTTGTCTGCCATCCCTCAGGGCAAATCCGTGTTCATCACAGGCTCTGCTGGGACTGGTAAAACCCTATTGCTTGAGGAAATAAATTACTGAAAAAAATTACCAATATGTGGTTTTGTCATACAAAAAGATCCAATTTGTTTGGACTCGTTAGGTTTGGCCCATTACCTTGAGTGAGGCCGAACGTGTACACCTTTTGTTATGAAGATGTGATCTTATCCACCGATGGGTCTTGTTCTAAGCCCAACCCTCTCGTCTTAGGGTAGGATATCCAGAAACCTTAAATCACGGGAACTTCCCCTTTTTGGTAGACAGCCTATGTTGGGCTGACTAAGCCCACTATCCTACCTAATAGGGTCCCATCTTGTGTCGGGTTAAGGGCGCTTAGTGGAACCCTATTTCTTCACTTGTAGTCTAGGGCTTTGCTTGGCATTGGGCTTCGATATAGCTTGCTTTCCTGGTTTTGGATTAAACCTCTGCTCTCCTAATTCAGTCTATAGGCTTAGAATTTAGCCCAGAAAGACACCTTTCTTAGCATCCAATTGCTCGACTCGATGGGTACTTATAGTGGTTTGCCGGAGAAGCTCTTGTATTTCTTTAAGGAGTTGGTTAGTGGCATAGACACCTCTTAACTCTAAATCGAATATTCAAGAGACTAAAAAGATCGGGAATGCACATCTAAAAGGAGAGGAACTTAACTCGCAAAAAAGAAAAAGAGAAACGATAGACAGAAAGAGAAGGAATAGCGGGCAAAGCGATTCCAATGCTTAACGAATGGACCAATCCAAGACTTGGAATGCTACCAGAATCGACAGCAGCTCTTACCTTACTAGCACGATACCGAAATGGCCCTTAGCCGACTAAAGGCTACAAGACTGCTTCTACACCTACTACCCTCACTCTCAGATAAAGACAGAACGGACAAGAACTACTTTTACATCCTCAAGCTAGAAAGAGGATAGGCTATTGGGGCTTCCTGCGAATTCTGTGGAAGGTAACAAGACTGTAGAATATTCGAGGGACCACAAAAAGGGGAAGTCAACTGTTGCCTCTAAAAGGGCCCGGATACCGCCTAAACCAGTGCAAGGTTGTATTCCCAAGGAAGCTAGCATAGCAATAGGGAATCCATCTAGTATTGACTAAGGAAAGATGGTGCTGGGGGGTCCCACTAAGGTGAATGTTATTGAACCTTCTCATGCAAAAAAGCCATGCAAAGAATTCCTTCTACGTCCATTGCTACTGTAAGACCACCAACAGGGGGAGATGAGCAACATGTGGGGCCTACACACTTGGAACAGCCTCGCCAAGAGTCTGCACAGGCCCAGGATCTAGGTTCTTTTATGGAGCTTTTAAAACACCAGTTGCAGTAGGAAGAGACCCCCTGACCCAGGGTAAAACATCTGTCCTTATCGCTTTATAGTGCCACAAGAAGTGACAGAGGTAGAGGGAGAGGTCAATTCTCACTAAACGTTCCTCTAGTAAGGCACCATCACCAGCGCACATGAGAAAAGGCCAAGGAGAAGGTGAGAGGAAGGTTCAAACACCAGGCTACACAGCCCTAAACTCAAGCAATGATTTATTGTAGCTATTGAGTTTAGTACACCGTACTCAAACCTATACCCACTCTCATACCCTACGGTAAGTGAAAGGAAGCAGTACATTCAACTTTTTAGGGAGGAGCTGAAAGATAGACCTTCCTCTTGAAACATGGGGTGAAGTATTGGGGAGTTACACAGCCACTGTTGGTCTTATATCCCTACCACCAAGACCAACAGCTGCGGATTCAATAGCATCGGCGAGAGAGATAATTCCTATTGAGTTAGCTTTCCTGGGGAAGAGGATATTCTATAAAGGCTATACCACGACCACCCCATAAGCTACAGCTTCCCCTGCCGGAGTTGTGCTTGGTGGAATTCACGCCTCAAATCATCACTTTCTCACCGACCTTTACCCATGCTAAACGTGTCCCAGTTTACTAACGAACCGGTGACGTAAAGCTTCTATTCTCAATTTATCCTTTCTTCCCCTCTGCAGCCTCACAGTTGTCTTTGATTTTATTGCCCATCGATAAAGGAATGACTCTTGGTGAGCCAATGAGCTCAAATCAAGCTAGAGAACTTCCTGAACCAGATAGTGTGACGGCGGAACTTATTGCTATCTATCAAATCCCAGAGTTTAGTTAAGAACCTCGTAGGCCGGGAATGCCATAAAGAAGCCTTTTCCTCTCGGTGTCAGTGTCAGCCAAGTTAGCATCGGCTTCCCCAAAGCCATAATTTTAAGCTGATGACATTGATGAGTGATCCAACAGTCTTGAGTGGTAGTTCTCAAAGGAGAAGGGATCCGAGGTACTAAGTAGCTATGGAATGAAGGCGAACTAAAAGCTTTCTCCCATTCTCCTCCAGGCTCTCCTCTGACCACGAGTGGCGTACTCTGATATGAGTAGATCAGATCAGAGTACCGCGCCAATGTCGTTTAAGACAGCTGAGTTTGACAGACTCTGTACGGGAAGAAGGGCGGGGACACTCAGAAAATTATTCTTATTAATCACAGGTATGAGTTTTAGGGCGACGGGCCTACGCCTACTATTAGAAGTGCCCATCCTTCTCTCAGGTATTCTTTCGACCGCGTCTAAAAAAAGAAAAAACTTGACCTTTTTAAAGACATCCCTCGAGCTCCGCAGCTTTAACACCGGATGGAAGTACGGTCAGATGAATAGAACCAATACTATCTCAGCGACTATAGGTCGGTTGACGGCAAGGAAGGAAGTTAAGTTTTCCCCTATCCTGTATGATTTAGAAAAGTAGGGTCTGTAGGCAAGTCTATTGACTTGTTACCATTTATCTCCGCCATTCAAAGAGAAAGACCCGGCGCATCTCTTCCCTCTTCGAGCCAACCGTTCACTTCCTCTAACGAGCGAGTCAACAAAGTTAACCACTTACTACGTTCTTTCAGAACCTGAGATTCCATGAAATAAAATAATGATCCTCAGGAGCAAGAAGATGCTCCCAAGCGACCCCGGGGATCCAGCTCACTATCCGCCGTTATCCCTTTCCATTCCTACCCTATTCTCCATTCTTATTAGGCAGTCGCCATCACAATCGGAGTTAAGTTCCTCCTTCTCGCAATTAGAATCTAACTCGGAACCGTAAATCTCAACTGGAAGACTATTTGACATGGAAGAGTCACTGCCTAGGCGTACAAAAATATCCTTATTGTGGTATGCTCCTATATCATCCTACTGATCTTTTTTCGACAGCGCACTGACGGTGATATGCCTTTAACTTTTTGAAATGATACGCCACGACTGGAAAGGGGCTTGCTAAAGCCCATAGGCCTGTGCAGACGTGAGGAATGTATTCTTTCTTTCTCAGGCGGGGCTCCGAAGTTGCCGAAAATCGTCCGCTATTAGATAGATGCGCCTTATCCGGTCTTTGCGGAATAACCGCAGTTGGTGGTTTAGTAAGGGCATTAGGAAAAGGCGTAACCGCTGTTTGAGAGATAACTAGTTACTTTATTACCTAAAGTTCACTTATTTGTAGCCTACCACTAGCTTTTTCTTTTTTGGAGGAAGCTAAGCCAAGTCCAAGATTATGCTGTAAGGCATCGATTTCCGGCCGATTGCCTTCTGCAAAGGTCTCATATTCTTTGACAGATTCTCTATAAAGAGTACGGTACGGATGAGAAGAACAGATAAGGGTCTTGCCCGATCTTCCCTTTACAGGTAGGATATGTGTTCGATAGGAACGTCCTAAAAATGTGGGGCGCGTTCCGTCTATATCAGTTAATATGCTGCTGGAGTTGGATTCTTTGAGCTGTTAAACAATAGATACATGGGGGTTTTAATAACGCCAGATCGGCACATCAATAGCAGCAGACGCAGAGGAAGAAATCCTTGCTCTTCGGGCTAAGATGCTGACTTTGCCGTGGAAAGAGTAATGAGAGGAAAGCCTTGACCTTCCCTTGTTCTACCCTTCGAACTCGGAGATTGAAAGGTGATTGAAGAAGATCACTCTATGCAGCGACAGAGGCAAGATCTCTATATGTTGATAGGACTGAGTCCCCCTTTAGAGATAGGGGGAGAGATAAAGCAATCGGCAGGGAGGCATTACTCCCACACGAAAAAAAAACGTGCAACCAACCTTTCCTTCCTCCTCTTCTGGGCATGTCTTACTAGTGTAATCAGTCCCTTGCTTTCCTTCCCCGCTGTCACTTCGCCGGAAAGAAGTTCCTTCTAATTAGATAAGGGATATGCTTTTGTAATAGCAATTGGATGCTTTCTCAACACGGATTCCAAGGCTTATTCACCATCAAGCGCGGTAAGAGCTGCTATTTACTCAAGAGCGGCTAGTCTTGCAGCGGCAACTGCTTGAGCTCCTACTCTCACTGCGGTTACGAAGACAGCAAAGGGATATTGAAAAGAGGGAGCACAAGAGCTCTGAGTCATCCAACAAGGCTTACTGGAAAAGACTAGAAGAGTAAGGTCATCAGTCCCAGAGCCTATGAGTGCTATGCAAACAGCACTGATTCACCAGAAAGACCGTGACGGTTCATGTCCAGCTCCTTCTATTCTATAGTTCCTTCCCCCTTTCCTTCACCACCAGCTGGAGCGCAGTCTTCGCCGGTCTCAAGGTTATCAAAAAGACAAGACCGATAACGTGGCTACGAGCTCTTTCCTTACTCAGACAGACCCCAACCCCAAGCGGGCACGGTGACAAGACTTTGATGCGGGGTTCGGAAGATAGGCTTGCAACGGATTCAACCGATCGATTCCCCGTGGCATATAAAGATTGGCGAAGCATAAGGTTAGTAACATCGGTGCTGATAACTTCCTTTTCTCCTTCGGGGGTGGGCTTTGTAGGAGTTGGGCGAGATGCAAGACTTTTTCCTCAAGGAGTTAGAGCAGAAGTTGTTTACTCGTATAAAAGAATAAGACCGGCTTACCATTCTATTAAATAAAATGAAAGGGTTGAGAGTGGATTCCTTTCTTCAATGCATTCCACCGAGGCGACTAGGGCACCTTTTTTGTAAGAGACGCTCAGCTCAAGCCAACTTCTATCAGTTCAGGCGGAAGGTCAGGGGGAGTGGTACAATTAGGCCTTCCCTTCGGTATGCTATATCAGTATGTAAAGTGAATTTATCTCGTAGGCCCGCTTTTGAAACTTCTGGTTTGAGGGACTTCACCGCTAACGAGCATCGATAAGCTGTCGCAAGCAATCAAAGCGATTCCCTTCCTTATTCTAATAGAAAA